GTGAAAATAATCTTCTGCTGTCTATGGTGCAAGAAAAACAAGACCTCATGGAGGAGTTGTGGATTAGTATGGTAGAACATTTTCAGGGCCCACCGTATTTTCTGATTTTTTAAAAAAAGACACTAGTACTGATTTTTATATTGTGTTTTTATATTGTTGTAACCCATTCTGGGAACTTATGGTGAAGGGTATGTAGGAAATACAATAAATAATAATATTAAATAATAAGAATCCATGAAAATAATGGAAGTGTGCTAGCATTTATTTGTGAATGAATGAATGAATGAATTTATATACCGCCTTCTTGGGGGAAACAAACAAAAACAAAACACAGCAGGTGATGTACAGCATCATAAAAAGCCTTTGAAAGCATTACAGTACTGAGCAAGCATGAAAATAACTGGAAAATAAAATGACTTTATTTTCAGTAAAACGTGTAAGCCCCGGAGCACACTACATTTTATTATGTGACTGGAGGACCAGAGAGCTATTTCATGTCAATGAGTTGATGCCCTTCTTACCCACTTGAGGATAGGAATATATGAATCTGCCTTACACAGAGCCAAACTATTGGTCCATATAGCTCAGCATCACTTAAGCTGAGTGGCAGTGGCTTTCGAGGGTTTCAGGGAAGAGTCTTTTCCAGCCCTACCTGGTGATACCGGGAGTTATACTTAGGACATTCTGCCTTCAAAGCAGATGCTCTACCATTGAGCTCTTCCCATAAGGTTATTTGCTAGGTCCCAGTTCTGTATTCCTATATAACCAGCCTGAATAATAAATGGAATTTTATATTGCCCTGCGCCCTCAGTTTTAGGGAGATTCTTGTGCCAGAGAAACTCTCTTTTCAAGAAAAACAGCACTCTCTTTGGTCAAAATGGAGTTTCCATACAGCGCTTTAATGGGTGTGAACGCAGGCCATGTTTAGGAGCCCCAAAGCTTAATTTGAGGTGCATATAGAATTCAGTTCCTTATTCAGACTGCTCATGCAGCTGTGCTTTGAACTTTTTAATAAGGAGCTGAAAATTAGTAACCAAGTCCAGCCTCCTCTATCCTGCTGACATCCAAGTTCGTGGGGTTACCAACAGGGCTGGACTTAGTGCCCCCAAATGGATCTTCTCAATTTTGCACCCCGTTGGCTCAGTGCCCTCTGGGGGGAGGGAAAACCACCCACACCACCCTAAATCCAACATGGGTTACCTAGTTAGATTGAGAAGGCGGTGTGCCACTAAGGGCACTATCACACAGAAAGCTTGTCTTGTGCTATTTGTGTGTGCATATGAATCTGGTTCACGGCATCAAGAAATGGCCATTCCTTCTAGTCAATTCAGAGCCTTTCAATTTAGTGTTTTTATTTTCAGTCAGTAAATATTTTCAAAGTCCATTAAAACTGGAGCAAATGTTTTATCATGTCCCTGGAAACGCTTTCTAAAAACTACCTGGTTCACACATAACCCTAAACCAAACACTAAGCTTTGGTGGGAATATGGGAGTGTGTGGCCTCCAGATCATGGCTCCATCTCTGGTCCTGCTGCTGCAAGCTAAGCCATAGTTTGGTTCGGCTTAGTGTGTCATCTGAACCCAACCTTGTGGTTTGGCTTGCTCCAGTCAAGTTACAAGCTGTAACCAAGGTTTGCAGCTTGTGTTTGCTTTTTTAGGAGAAGGCACTAAGTAGCCACACTCTCCAGGAATGTGGAACAACATAGGCCAAAGGTTGACTTAGCATGATGTGCAAACCAACCAACCACGCCTCCAGTTCAGCTAAGCTCTTAGGCTCTGCCCAAATCATAGGTTTCTGCTTTGTTCTTTGGCTTATTCTGAACTGGAAGTGTGGCAACCAGTACCCTAAAGGAAAAAGTACAGCATTGTCTGCTACTTTAAGCAACACTTGGCTATACCTGGGCAGCGCCATCTCTGCTAGCCCAGTTGATGTGGGATAGCATCCTTGGAATCTCTAGCTGTTGTGAACAACCAACCCCACAGCGATACAGAAATTGTTTCATCGTGTCGCTGTTCAGAGTTCTTGTATCTTAAAAGAGTTGAACAGATAGCAATTTCACAAAGCTATTTTGGGAGGCAGGGGGAGTTGAGGGGAGGGGGGATGATGCATCTGTAAGTATTTTGAAGAAGATGCCCCCGTTTAAAGAAATCATTCTTAAAGAATCCAGCAGTGACAGCTGCTTCATTTTAAGATGAGTCAGAGAAATGTGTTGTAATTCAGACACTTTTCCAAGAAATGTAGACATTTCCCCAATAAAAAAAACAGAAATTATACAAAAACCAGGATTGCTGCTGCTCTAGGCATATGAAATGAAATTTCTCACTTTTCATATGTGGACCTCACTTTTAATGCATATATCCTTGGCTGAACCAGTGTTTCAGGGATTGCTCTTGGGGATTGCAGTTTAGTCTTCTTCAAGCACCTGATTCAACATGCATGCTTAAGATCACTTGATGTGGATGACCTCCTTACACTTCTCAGAACTTGATCTCACCGTCTTGTAAATTCTAGAAAGTAGTGACAGGCAGGGAACCTCCCTTCCCCCTTTCTGAACCTTTCACCCTTCCCTATGATCACAAGTCACAAGCAGTGTTTAAATTTTCAATTCATTTTTAGAAACTGGTCTGAGATTGATATATAAATAAACACTTCAGCTACAACTGAATTTTGTTAGTGTCTAAGAGATTATCGTGATAATGATGTCATGGAATGACATCTGGGGAACTGTGAACCAACTATAAGGAGATCTTTGAGAAAGTACTAGGCCTGTAAATATTAGATCCTCAGGTAACGGGCATGTAACATTGGAAGTAGTTTCATTTATTGGAAAGTACCACTATAGGAGTTGCCTATATATCCCAAAGCACCACTATAGGAGTTGCCTTGTGCTTCTTCATGTGAATGAACCAGTAAGCATGTAAGTGGATGCAGAAGGAGCAACTGAAAAGGAGCACCAGAAAGATCAAGAAGAGTTGAGCAAAATTACAATACGCCAAGATGCCTGCAGATGTAGATGACTTTAATTTAATTTAATTTAAAGTGTATTAAAACTGATTGAATGTGAACCATTACCTTTTTCCTTTTTTCACTGTTGCGCCATATATTGAGCCCACATTCACCCAGGGCAAGGGCTCTCCCCCATTTCCTGGGAAAATAAACAGTTTCTGTTGGGATTCCTGGAAAATACTGCAAAAAGTGTATGTGCTTTCAGCAGAAATGGAAATTTATAGTAGTGTTTGTTTATAGCAAGAGAAATGTAGTTAATTATTCCAAAATAATTAACAAGGAATACAAAAGTGAAATCATGTACACGCAGTAGGCTAGTGTCATGGTACTCTTGGATTACTTGTTGATTCATTTTTTTAGGGAATTGTAGCTTGAGAAGCAAAATGGATTATGTATGCATTCATGTGGCCTTTTATCAGTCATTGTAGTTTAATATGGTTAGAATTCGGGGTGGTAGAGTGTTTGCATGTGATCTAAGGTGGATAATGTGTGGACCTGGAATTAAAATCCAGCTGCTCAAAAGGTCGCAACCTGCAAGCAGCCTGAGGGTAGGTAGCCCACAGCCTTCAAGAGATTATTCTGCAGTATATGATCCCAGATCAGCTTAAATGCCCCCAAACCAAGTCTTTTGCAGCACAGAGCAAAGAACCTTTGGTTCTCTATGAGCAAAACTGGAAAATGAGAATGAACTAACACTGGACAGTTAGAAGACCAAATTGAAAAGCCTGTTGTATTAATCTGACATTTTTACATTAGGCTCCCTGAAGGAGGAACACACACACACAATGAACATTACCAAGGTGCATGCAATGTTTTGCTCATTTATTCTGCAGCCTTGATATTGTGCTGAGGACTTGGTTCAATATTCAGTGCTATTTAATCATATTAAATGGTAATGCAATCAAGCTTGCATTTGTCTATGGTGTGCACAGCTATGGTCCACAGGTGCCCTGTTGTTGCAGAGATGAGGCGCAAGGACAGTCTAGTACCCAAGAGTGGAAGTAAGGCTGCTAAGGCCACCCCTTCCCTTCCCTTATGCCAGCAAGGAGATGGGGGATTTGGGGGGGCGGCGATTCTTCTTTAGCTGTACAAATGTTCCTCCAAGCTTTAGAGACTGGTCGAGATGAAAGTCCAGTAAGTAAGGGAAAGTTGAGGGAAAGCAGGATTGCTAGCCTAGGAACTTCTGGGCAAAGTAGATGGGTAGAAAGCAGAGGGACTCGGGTCGATGTGGGCGGCTTCTCGTGGAGGGTGACTGACAAGTAGAGCCGGTGACCTGAATATGGAAGATCTCCCGAGGGGACTGGATGCAACAAAGGAAGAGGCGCTCGAATGGAAGAGGAGGAGGGGTGCTGTTGATGGCCGACCAAGGTGACGGCTAGTCCGTTGTGTGACAGGGCGAGAAAGAGCCACGGGAAGAGGAGGGGGAGAATTTGGGGGACGGACGGAGCCCGGGCTAAATAAACTTCTTCGAGGCGTTTCTCTTCCCCGCGAGGCAAGCCGCGTGGGGAAGCACGAGGGGCGGCCGAGGCGTGGAGGGAAGGCGCCCCCGCCCCGCTCACGTCCAGGGGAGGATGGGAAAAGCAGATGGGGACTTGGGCAGGCGGGAAAAGAGCGATGGGGCGGACTAGAGGCGCGACGGGGCTGCCGAGAAGACAGGTTGGGCGGTGGGGGGGCGGGGCGCGCGCGGAGGATGCTGCCGCTCGCGTGGGGACGCCCCTCCCCGGCTGGGCGGCCGTGGCCATGCCGTGTCCGCTGGGAGCCGCCCGCCTCGCCTGCCTGCCTTGCCTTGCAAGCTGCGCTGGGACCTGGCTGGGGCGGGTGGTTGGTGCGGAGATTGGCTAGCGGGGGCGGGCCAGGTGCCTGGCGATTGGCGGGCGCGTCGGAGCGGACGGCGCTGGGGAGGGCGCCGATTGGCTGCCGACGAGGAAGCAGGAAGGGAGGACGGAGCCTGAGCGGAGCAAGGGGCTCGCTGCTGCCGCTGCTGCTTTCGGGGAGTTAGAGCACATCGGCGGCGGGCGCGGAGGCGGCGGCAGCAGCAGCGGGCGCGGAGCAGCGGCGGCAGGACGGCAGCCGAACCTTCCTCGGCCGAGGGAGCGGCGGGAGCGGGAGCCGCGGCGGGAGCAGGAGAAGCAGCAGCAGCAGCAGCCGCCGCCCCCTCCTCCGGCCTTGAGCGCGCGGGCCCCAGAAGGGGGCGCGCCTCCAGTCCCCATCCCGCAGCCGGGCGGCTACGCGGCGGCGAAGGAGGAGGAGGAGGCGGCGCTGACGCAGCAGCGTGGAGCCCGGGACTCGGGCGCCCCGGGGCGTTCCAGCCGCCGGATTCCAGCCCGGCCGGGGCCTCCGCCTGCCCTGGGTGGGCCCGCTTGAGCCGAACGACGACGGAGGAGCAGCAGCCCGCCAGCGCCCCGGTGAGTGCGAGCGAGCGAGCGAGTTCGGCGTCAGCCCGTCAATCTGCACCGGCCGGCCGGCAGCGCGATGGGGCTCCGCCCGCCGACGCCGCCAGCCTCGCGAGCCCCACAAGCCGGAGGCGGCGGCGGCGGCGCTGCTTGGAAGGGCGCAGCGTCGAGGAACTTGCCGGGCGCGGGCGGGTGATGGGAACAGGTGCCGCCGGGGAAGCGGGGGGCGGAGGGGGGCGCGGCTCTTGCGGGACGAGGCGGCGCGCAGGCTTCAGCCGGGGGCCACCGGGAACTTTCTGCTGGGATCCGGCTGGTGCCGGCACGGGGCCCTGGAGGGGAGGGAGGGAGGACGATCGGTGGCGGTCTTCAGGCAGCGTGTCCCTCCGGGCGCCTCAGCCCGCTTCCCTGGTCGTCCTCGTGTCACGGTGGGTGGGTGGTTTGCTGGCTGCGGTTCCAGTAGCAGCCGCCGCCGCTCCCCTGCAACCTCCTCCTCCTCCTCTCCCTCTCCAGTGTGTGTGTCGCCGGGGGCCTGCCTTGTCGCTGGGGGTGGGCGGCGATCCCCCTTCCCCGAAGGGCGCCGTGGCCCTGGGGCTGGTCCTCTGCCCGAGCTGAAGGACACTCCGGGCTGCTCCCGTCTCTCCCCGCCCATCACCCGGCCGCCGGAGAGCAGGGAGGAAATGGCCCCCGGTGGCAGGTGGGCTGAGCTCTGGCAACGACTCCCCGGTGGCCCACTTGGATCATGCGAGCGAGGGTCAGGCTGCCGCTTCGCTTCCTGGGATTAGCTTTAAGGTCTAAAGTTATGTAATAAAGCCATTTAACTTTTACATCGACGATCGTGAAAACAACACCCCCTTTCCCCCTCCCGATTCATCTGGGGGAAAGGCAGGAACTGAACCCATGGGAGACCACGTGAAGGGCCTCCTTGGCGCTCGCGCTGTCTCTCTCTCTCTCTCTCCTCCCCCCCCCCTTCCTAATTTTGTCCCCTGCCTCCTGGAAAACGACATTGTCACCCAGTCTTGTTTCCTTGTTGGGAGAGGGCTGCTGTGTCTATCCGAGGCACCTTTTGGGATAAACCAGACACAGAGACAGATGTCCTGTTTAAAATGGGCTGTAAAAGACAAAGACGCATGCAACACTCTCTCTTTCTCGTGAGGGGTCTTTTGGAACAGGAACTTGGAACCGAGCGCCAGAACAGAAGCGATCAAACCTAAGAGGGTTTAAAAAAAGAAAGTGGTCGTGGGAAAGAGGCATCGGAAACTGAATCTTGATGGGTTTTCTCTAGAAAGAACAAGGCACTTAATAACTTGACACTGGCTCAAGAGACATGCCTCAGTGAGGCAAAGTAAAGTTACTGATTTGCTGTGATATTTGAAAGCTGCCATCAAAATAGTGGAAGACGTTTGTGAAGTGGTAGCAAAAACAAAGGGAGCTAAGCAGATGTGTTACTTGTTCCTGGAGATAATTATTTTGTAATTGTTAATAGTTCAGGGAATATAAATATTTGTTTTGTGTAGTATTTCTCTGTTTGTCACAACTTGGATGTGTAGTGTTTGCATAGGCCAAAATCAGATGTACATTTTTGAGTGCATTGGCTATCAAATTTGGAAACTTCTTCCCTTCCAGTAAGGAGTACTGGAATGTACTTTATCACTATTCACAAGCTCATTCTTCTCCTGTTTTAAATGTCACCCCTTGCACTTAGGGAGAAGATGCTAACACCAGTTTTCACACCCTCCTCATGTCCCAAGAGTAGCAAGAGAGTGTACGTAAGGAGTCCCCTTCCCTTCCTTGTCTGACAGTTGCAACAGAGAGCGAACAAATGGGTACCCAGAATGAAATCCACATCAGTGTTTCTGACAGGTTATCTTTCCTCCCACCATAGCCTTCTGAACAGCCAGGAATGGGTGGAGAACTGAAATGGTGCAGTTGATGGAACATTTCTGTTTGCAGGTGATGTGCAAAATTGTGGGAAGGTTAAAATATGATTGGTTAGTCATCCACAATGTATATCTCCAGCCTGTTTAAAAACCTTTTACAGGCTCATTTTAGAACTTCATTTCTTTTAAAAACAGAAAAGAGGATTGAAGTAGTATTGCGAAAATTATCTTTAGGGGTTCTTGTGGTACTTCATGAGTGTTCTAAAAATGTTTGGTAACAGCATTAAATTAATCTTGTACTCAGATTGTAGCAACTCAGTGTTGCATGTTGGACGACTGTTTTGTGAAAAGTGTGTATGTCACTCCCTATGCATAACTACAGTGTGGAACATCAGGCATTCTGTTTCATTATGTAGACCACATGTTCACACATCTGACTTGAGCTTCTAAAATCTGGAAGCTGTGTTTAGGTAGAAGAATAATGTTAGGATTAGGATTAAGTACCTTTCTGTTTTTATTTCCAAGTTAAGGTTTCTTGTCATATGTGTAGAGGAATAAAGTTAAGAGTCAGATGACACTGATTTCCATTTGTTTCTATCTGTATGGAAAACAAAACCGGTTGCTTGTGTTGCTTTCTGTAGTAAAATGTGAAAGTAACTTCAGGCGATCAGCTCTTGCTCCTTTCCGGATGCTTCTGACTTTATGAGATTAGCCAGTTCTAGATGGATCATTACGTTTTATTTATTTAGATATGTAGCCTGACCAATCCTTAAGGCATGTAACATTTCCTTATTGCATCGACTTTTGTTAATTTCCATTTTGTTAGAAATTGATCCAAGGCAGATGCCTGAGGTCACCTGGTGAATCTATGGATAAACCGTGGCTTTGGGTTTTGGTTTCACTGGCTGCCCTTCTTTCCAAATTATCCATGTCTAAAGCTCTTGCCTACAGGGCATTTGCAAGCTGCTAGATGTGTTCTGTAGATTGGATTGAGATCCAGAGTTCTGGTTTCAAGTAGGTGGCGCAATGCTAAATTTTCCTTGTGACATTCCAAAGGGACTTTTACAGAGTGCTTGAGGAATTCATGCATTTGAAAGAATCTCTGGCATCATAATAAATCAGAATATTTGCTGGTTCAAGAATCTTGCTTATATCATGTTTGTAAGCTGATCTAGTGCATGCCTCTCTTCAAGGATATATGCTGACTTTTTCATTTGCTTAGTGTGTTTTTTAAGTTGTATTGTTTGATTTTTACCCATCCAATATTTGATTACAGTTAGAATA